CAGCGGTCACTATTAAACAGTTAATTCAGGATAAGGTTTCAATAACTTTGCATTAACATAACTTTGTAACTTTAGTTCACAACTTATTTTCACATCAATATAATATATACTAAAGTGAGAAATTGAATCAACCAAATCAAACTATTTTTAGGAATATGTCTATGAGAAAATTAAGTTTTAAAAAATTTTGTTTTTGTGTGTGTGTGATTTAACTATATAACTGTAAGAAAAAATTCTTGTATTTTTACAACACTCAGATCACTCAGACGTGACTTGGCAGTCTTTTAAATTTTCTGATATTTTGCACTTTGAAACTTCAAAACTTGTCAAATAATTCAGTCATATAGACACTTGTTTGAATCATTCTTGAAGATGATGCTTGAGATTTATTCTTATTATCAGTCATCATCAGAGGACCTTTGCATTGATCATCAAACTCTATCGTAGTCTTCTTTTATTTTAAGCGCTTGTTATGTGTGTACTTTAGTTTTTGTCATCAAAAGCTAATTGTCATCATCAAAAGTATATTCATTCTCAAGATCATGTTGTCTAGAGCTTCTAAACCTACAAAATATGACTTCACATTCTTTCCATTTTTGATGATGACAAATATATGTTTTGAGTAATTAAACTCCCCATCAGTTAAGTAGAGAGTATACTATACTCTCTCATATACTTATTCTCATTTGTCAAAATCAAAAACGCAGGTAAAAGATGCATTGTGAGAAATTTAAATATGCAAACATGAGCACAATAACATTTAGGAAAGGGAAAGACATTACTCTTTTTTTTATTCAAATTTGCTAAGATTTTGAGTACAGAAAGCGAGAATTTACGGATGTAAAAGTAGTACGAAAAATAGGAAATTTTGGAATAAGAAAAATAGAAAAGTAAACACACTGAAATAAGACACATAAGTGAGATTATTCTTGTCAAAATCATCATTCAGAAATTAGTCTCGAGGTAGTAGTGTTTGATCTTTGATGAAGTGACTTTTTATGAAGTCGGTTTTGTTGTTTATTGGATCAATCTTTTTTATCATGATCTTGAGCATGTCTTCAGTTAAGGGCAGTTGAGGGATATTATAGTTGTAGTCTTCCAGATCTAGATGTTCTTCTTGGTCCTCTATCTTTCTCTTCTTTTTATTAGAGTGTTTTTCATCCACTTTTCCATTGATGATCTCATATTTTATTGATGTTAAGATTGTTTTTCCTATCTTTGTTGCATCTTCTATGAATTCTTCTTTTTCAAACTTGAATCTGACGTGTTCCAGGATTTTTGGAATTAGATTTCCATAAGGCGGCCACTCTCCTTTTTTCTTGCTTCCTATCATGTATTGAATCACTTAATTTGCCCAGTTTACCATGATTTTACTTTCGATCACCCATATGGCTTCAACATCAAACCGGGTTATGAGACCGAAATTACTTTTTCTAGGAAAAAGTATGTGATTTTCCATATAATTGATCATACGAATGTCATGGAAAATATGTCCCTCAATGAATGCATGTGGTATAGTGGATGATGGATCTCTCATTAGCGAGAATTCATCGATCTTGAGGTTGAAATTGTATCCAAATTATCTCGTGGCTCTGGGACAAAATCTTCATGAGGAAGATTCAGGATATTGGCAAGATATTTCACTAATATAGCTATCATGAGCCTTTTTACTTTATAATAAATTATGTTATCGGTGAAAAAATATTTGAGAAGAACATTTTGACTAATGACGGATACACCTTTCTTGAGGAATTGCAAAGAAAAATGGACAATATGTGTTCTTCAAACATCTTAAAGAATTCACATTCTTTAAAAGATTATGGATCCATGGTGTGAAATCTATGGACGGTTCTTTTTGTGAAATCTTAATAAATATATCTTCTTGTTATTGAGAACTGAAATAATTGGAGAGAGGACTAGAGGAGAAACTGAGCCTTCTGGGCGACATTGTGATGATTTTGAAGGAATAATGACACACACAAGTAGTGAAAAGCTAAATATGCAATGCAAGCGAGTGAGGAATGCATACCTATTTATAGTGTGCCTTCTGAAAATTTTAATGGTATATTTCTTACAAGCTATCAATGGAGATTGTGCTTTTTGAAAATTAGATTCAAATCATTCCAAAATAGGTGTGCCAATCGATTGGCTATGGGCTTCAATCAGTTGGGTGATTATATTTTCCAAGATTTTAAGTGTTTAACATCAATGTTGAGAACTGATTGCCTTAAAGACTATGTTTAGCTCAAATTTGATTTGAAAATATGTGCGCCAAGCTTGTCCAATCAGTTTCCTTAAGAAGCTAATCGATTGGGCTTATGTCAGTCAGCCTGTTTGGTGCTTCTTGGGCCTTGTGTTGGATTTTTATTTGGCTAATGCTTTTCGGCCCCCCTGTTTTACTTTATTTGCACCTCTTTATTTAAAGGACTATAAAAATGATTTGTTGGGTTAGTAAAAATATTCATTTGAGATGAGCAAAATTAAATCCACTATTTTAAAGGATTAATCTGAGTCTTTGAATCATTTCTTCTTTTAAAATAGTGTACTACATTATATATCAAGAAGTCTAGATAAAATTTCCCTTTTTTAGAGGGAACACCAACACATTGTGGTGTGTCCTTCTGTTTGAGTTTTTGGATGCGAGAGTTGGTTTAAACAACAATATGAATATATCTATTACATATGTATTCACTAAACCTAATATAAGGTTAGTTGATCAATAAGGATCAGAGATTATGAGATATCCTCAACGAAAAAAACATTGCTTTGATAACTGTTGTACCCCAAAATTTTCCCTCTCACTTATCAATAATTTTCTCACAAGATCTCCTTGGCTCAAGACTGCATTAGGGTTTGATCAGCTCAAGACACCACTTTATGCACTGATGACCAAAATTAGGGTTTGAGTTTACACAAGGATTTTTGAACTATCAATGCTTCATATGACTTTCATGGACCATTATGGACCCCCAAGATTACTCATGTCAAGTTTTAAGTCTTGGATCACATTTTTGCTCAGTCAATTGAGCAGTTGACCTAAAAATCAATTGTATTGGGGGAAAAGTCAACCGAGGCCGATTTACAGTAAAACTTCATAATTTTTTATCCACATCAACATTTTAAACCCATATGTATCATTTGATGAAGTTTGGACCATAATTCCTCAAGAAATTTCATCAAATCTCCAAAAGGGCAAAATGGTCAAAATTAGGGTTTTGACTGGGAAAGGGCAATTTCTGATTTTTGACCTAGAAAATGGTCAATTGGTTTAATGCATGATCTCAAGAGTCAATTGCATCATTTTTACCTAATAACATGATTCAAAACATTGCAAATCCATTGGATTGACAGATGAATTTTGCAGTCAACTGATCAAAAGTCAACTGTATACTGAAAAGTCAAACTTTGACTTTTTGATCAAATTTAAGCACCAAAGATCACAATTCATCAAAACATGTCAAAATAGAAAACTTATTCATCAAGAAATCAAGAAATCAATATTTCATTTTGAAAAGTCAAAATTTCAAAACTTAGAAATTTTTCTAAGTGTCAAAAATTTCTTATTTTTTCATAACTTTGAGAAATTTTTTCATTATGATGCAAGATGATTCAAAAGAAACTTCCAACATGAAAGTTGAATATCTCCATGAAATCTACAACTTTTATTCATACAACTTCTCCTAAAAATGCTTGGATCTCAAGTTATAATTTTATGAATACATGCTCGTGAACTAAAAAAGACATGGTGAAATTTTGCCCTAGTTAGGCAGATTTTTGACCTAACTTCATGGAAATTTTTCACATAGTTCCAATGGGAATCTTCAAAAGAAATTCAAATATGTGTTGTAGAGCATATTGCAAGATTTCCAAAATGTTCAATAAATCCTTGAGATCATTCTTAAGTAGGGAGAATCGAAGAGATGAAGTTGGTGTTTTGTCACTTGAATTATAGGTCATTTTCATGATGAACACAAATGCAAATCAATGTTAGGCTGCATAATATTTCCTTTTCAGATCTCAAACTTGTTTTTCACTCCATAATTAATGGATTACACAAACATTTGAGCTATAATCCAAGTGATTTAAGCTTTATCCAATTCACATTGCCATTTTGGGAAGAAAGTTAACAATACCATTCTTGAAAAGCAAGCTTTATGCATAAAGTCCACTCTTGATCCTCTAACTTGTTTCCTCTGATCACACTTCATCTAAAAGTCAGAAGCAAGTTTGTTTAAATCATAATCACTCTATCTTAGCAAGTACACAAGGCATTGAAACTTGTTTTCTCAAAAAATCACATGTTTAGCTTAAGGATGCAAATTCAAATTCTGATCAACAACAAGTCTCCAAATTTGTTTCTTATAAATAGAATCACTATTTGTGAGCTAGGACACGAGCTTGAACACCCTAAAACCCACTCAAATTCACTCTAGCCAGAAATTGTCTCAAAACACCATTATTGTGCAAGTTCTGACTTTATATACCAAACTCTAAATCCCCTCATGCGTTCTTTGGCCTTTCACTTCTAAACATCAAATACAAACCATCCAAAGTCCATTTGCTCAATTGTAATACCTTCATCATCAAGTTCCATTTTCAAAAATAGGGGTCTGCAACTTGACTTCTCCAGAGCTCCTCAGCCACTTTCAGCTCAAGCTAATCATTGCATTAGCTTCCCGGGACCTCAAGGAAGCTAACCTGGTCCTTGC